ATATATTTCTCTTCAAGAGTAATATAGGTGCATAGTATTTAGTTTAATTGATTTACTTTTGATTGGAAAAATGGCCTTGTTATCGAATACTCTTGAACCAGATTCCATGAAAGTAAAAGTGTTGAATAAAATAAAGAAAGAAAGAATAAAAATAGAAAAAGAAAACAAATGGAAGCAGCACGAGTTAGAAAGTTGAAGCATCAAAAGCTTCGAGGACGAGTCAGGAACAGTAAAAAAGGAGGATAGCGAGCGGTAAGTTACGGTAATGGCGAACCATCGGTGAGTTATGTCAGGACGAAAGAAGGAAGAAAGGACACTGCACACGTACCGAGTACATACATATACATACATCTATGTATATAAAAATATAATATATATATATATGTAGGTATTGTACATATACGTAGGGTACCGGATGAAGAAAGTGAGTTCTGCAAATAGCACCGCGATCGAACATCAGGATGAGAGGTGGTTTAGTGAGACGAAGAGAAGAGGAAAGAGAAGAGAGAGGAAGATGACGTACAGCGAGTCGCGATTGGCAGTTACTATGAAAAAAAAAAAAAAAATACTATGCCTACGCCTCATAACGATCGTTCCCCATCATCGTACGTATGTATAATACATATATATATGTATTATATTACGATATGTATGTATTATATGTGTATCTATCTACATGTATATCAACTATTAAAACACTAAAGCACAAAATAACTTGAATTTACACGCTTTGTCCAAATAATTATTGTCTATCTACTTACGTATACGTATATACTTAAGTGCATAGATATCTCGTGTGCATACATATATAGTATGTCGTGCGCGCGGCTCTATAGAAAGAACGCGCGGCACCACCATACGTTCACCTTTTCCTCGCCAAATACCAACTCTCCGAGAACGTGTTCTGCCTCTAATGCCGATGTAGTACTATCCAAGAAGCAAAAAAAAAAAAAAAAGAAAAAACAGAAGAAACTGGAGAAAAGAGAAGAAGCTGAGAAGATAAGGGAAAGGATGAAGAAGAGCTTAAGAAAGAAGAGGAGGACTAGGTATCGAGTTTTTCAGAGAATCCAGTGTTACTATTAATTATGCAAGAAATCCAATTGAATTTCTCGCTTTTCATCATTATATTTCCTGAATGTATGTTTCCTACTGTTTTCCTCCTTCTTATTATTTTTAAGGTTCAAATCAATGCAACTTATTGTTAGAGTATAATTTGTTCGTTAGTTAATAATGTAATAATTTATTGACATATTTGATATAAATTTTAGTATTTTAAAGAATACACAAACCTCTTTTTCAAGAACATTATAAGAAATTAATCTTATGATTTAATAAATTTCTATATTATATCTGTTATTTATTTGATCAGTATGTACAATCCTAAAACAACTCCTGTTTTTTAAATTGATTAATTAAACATTTTCTATTTTATAATATTATATTCTGAGTTTATTTTATATATGCTAATATTTATTATTAGCCGAAACAATATTGTTATGATTAAATGTGATTTGATGATATGACGTATATTAAATATATATATACTGACAGTTTTTATTTTTCAAAAAAAAAAAATACTTAACATTAATTAATAAAAAGCTAAGCACAAATAAATATAAATATTTTATTATTATAGAGAGAGTTGAGACGCGCGTATTAAAGTCCCTCCTAACGATGGTGGAGGAGGAAAAGACCTTTTGCTCGTTTCGACGAAATATTCTCTCTTTAACGAAGATCGCTTTTCACGATGGCGCGCCAGTAATGCAAGCTTGTATCCGGTGTCCTCGAGGTACGAGCAAAAGGGGATTACCTTCTTGTCCCCGGTGGAGAAACCTTCTTGTTTGTAGCGTGGCGGCCGCGATATATCCTTTCGATCGATCGCCAGACTCTAACTACAACAAGTCGCCTCTCTCTCTTTCTCTCTTTCTCTTTTTCTTTCTCTTTCCTTCTTTCTTTATTTCTTTCTTTATTTCTTTATTTCTTTCTTTCTTCATTCTTCGTACCTATGCTGTATCGAATTCACCCTAACGAGCGCTCCCTTGGAAACGAAAGATAGATGGATAGATAAAGAGAAACCTCTTTTACGAATGGAAACAACGAATCGTTTCACTGTTTAGCAGTTAGAACTTGAAATCTATTTGAAAATATTTATTGGAAAATTTTAATATGTTACATACATAGAATAAATATGATCAGTTAGTCTTATTTCATTATTTATGTTAAAACTATCATTTTTTTCCTATGTTACAGGTACGTATCGCAAGCAGGATCAAGAAAATGGAAACATCCAATAGTTTGTATAAAGAAAAATATACTCCACAAATAGAGTGATCCATTGCAACTATATGCAAAGATTCATATCTTTCAATCACCTTGGGAAGTAGGTACATATCTATTCTAATTAGCATGGTACGTGTTTTCTCAAAGGAAGGAAAGTCAAAAGAGAAGTCTTATGACTTTTACACAAATCTCTCCCAACTGATTTAACGAGAAATTCTTAAGAAAGAACTAAGAAATTTTCTAACAAAGGAAATATATTAGATTGAAATCAAAAAAAATAATCATACGCAGAATATAACTCGGTTTTTTGCTATTCCTTTTAATCTAACATAAGTAAATATTCGGTAATATAAGTTACAAACGATTAAAAATAAAACTATTTGGTTTTTTTTGCATTAAAATGATAAAGCATACATCCACAATTTTCTGTAAAATATCTTACAGTGTCGTTAAAATTTCCTTATTAACGTTTTATTTCAATACTCTCCATAAAAATAAATCTAACAGAAAAATCGGGAAAATAAATTGGTCAATTGAGTACACAACCACGACTGATCTAATGTCTAGGAAATTTCCTATCGAATACTTGACGAACTGCTATTACACAATATGGTGAGTAATTGTCATATTGATACCATATGTCAGACTTTCTTTCGCCTATTACAACTATTAGTCTCTCGAAGTGTTTTACTAATTTTTTCGAATATTCTATGTAATTGGTGAAGGTTAATAAAATATTGTTCATTATATAATTGCTGAGTCAACACTGAATTACATTCAAATGTGTTCAAATTTACATAAAGAAAATATGTTTAATATGTGAAAGATCGAATTAATAATAACTAATGATCATCTATCAAAAAATGTACAAAAGGCTATCATAAAATACGTGCTCCTTGATAAGATAATGTCAAATTCTTTCAATTAAAAGGTTTTTAATATATCTTGGATTTAGATTAAAAAAAAAAAAAAAATGTTATAGTGCTTGTCAAATTCTTCTTGCAATTAGTATCCACAAGAAAATGGTTCTAAATGAATTATAGGTTTACTTATAAAAAAAATTGAAGATAACCTTGAAAACTTTAGATAACAAATGAGTTGACAAAAAATTTAATATAATTGTCATAATACTTTTCTTCGACCACGCGTTACGTTAACTAAAAAATGTTTCGTTCGAACTATTAGCAATGAAATAATCTAAAAATAAGATAACCACGTTCCATGTATTTAATTATAATCACGTTAATATGCGACAGGTTTGCAATATTTAAATTGTACTCGATTGACGTTAAACTCTTAAAGTATTTTCTTATTTCGTTATTGAACATTTTGTTTTCGATGCAATTCGCGTATAAACGCCGCCAAAGCGTAATTAACATCGAGAATAAGCATCTGGAAAGTCGTATGGCCGATGTTGTATATGCGTGGCAGTAGTAGCTAACCCGTGCTAATTTCGAGCTCACTTGAAAATTCTATCGCGGAAAAGCGGGTCACTGCAGTTTATTAAAAAAGAAAAAAGATGGATTAAGAAAGGAAGAATACGAAAAAGAAATGACAAAAGGGAATAAAAGAAGCACAAGAGATGAAATACTATAGCAAATGCTAATCCTGGAAAAGACATTTAGTATTGCAAACGGAAAATCCCCATTTTTCATTTTACGTCATGAATTAAAGCCGATGACAAATATTATGTATTTTTTCGTAAAAATGATTTCTATGAAAACCGGATAACTTATCGTAGATATTAGTATAAGCATATGTTGTATGACATATAAACTATATACACATAGCATGTATTAACGACAATTTGATGCGATATTTAAAAAAGTAGATGATCATATAGAACACAAACATTAACCAAAAGTCTATACTTTATCGTTGACTTTTAAGAGATCTCATATAAGCTCAATACAGATTGTGCTAATTGAATAAAAACATAATATTTTGAACAAGAAAGTATTTTGTACTGAATACGAGCAATATTCTTACTTATCTTATAGAAGAGATAACGCGAATAATAATACTTTGGACAAGGTATAAAGCAACGAAATGGATTAACAATAAGATCGAAAAATAAGCACGATAACGCAAGATTTGAACGATAATAAGATTGCCGATAATAACTTGTTTATAAAATCAATAAGATCGTATACAAATATAAAACGTTAAAACAAAGGGAGATGCTATTTTATTTGACGTCAGATAAAGAAAGAAGATGAGAGATCAATAGAGAAAAAGAAAGCGAACAAACCGGCTCGTATACGAGAAGTATATAAATTTTTAATCTTTCTCAGGCGTAGGGTTTCTCACATCTAGTTAAAAATACAACAATCCTATAAAAGTTGCAAAATTAAAGAAAAAATATAGCAAGAAAATAGTACAGCAATCGCATGTGTATGTTCGATTCTTCCACACAGCTCCTGTTCCGCGTTGATACGACATTCATTATCAGATAAGTTCGCATTAATTGTCTAAAGCTTTATCTATCATGATAGATTACGTATTTGCCGTATCGAGGATAAATTGCAATGAAGAGAAAAGAGAAAGAGAAATGAGCTTTTTCGAAGTGATGACCAAAGGTAGAAAATGCAATTAATTAATGATGCAAATCTACAATGTGTTCTAAAGATCTCTTTATCTTTTTTCTTTAACTCTGCTTCTTCTTTTGCATTGTTTTTATTTCACGGTTGTACATTAAACTTTATGCTTCCAAATTCCAGTAAAAGATCCGCAAGCTAACTTCGAAGTTTAATAAAAGGAAAATCGGTCTTCTTGCTGCCAGTCACGTGGAAAATGAATGTCGTGCCATCATTCATGCTGCTAATATGCAAACGACACTTCTACTTTATTCTGAAGATGAGCGTTGAGTCAAAGTGAGAAAAATGGTAATCGACTTTGTGAGAGCTCTAAGAATAAATAGGGTATATGTATGTTATACCTTTCTATCTAATACACATACTGTGCATCTCAATGGAAAGTAATTGATTGCGCTATGCTCAGGATACATCATTTCGTGCCTTTTTGCTTGGATACTGCACCTTCATTGGCGCATATCGCGTATCGGTTTCGTAGTAAATAAGAGGAATATTGGCTCGTGTTTACGCGTGCTCAGCAAAGAACGAAAATTTATCGTATTTTGCTTCTTCTACGTGGCGATATATTATATATTATATATAATGTATGCGTCTAACACTGAGTTTCAATTTAATAACCTACAGTTATAATATTTAATAGTTTCATTAGTTAATAATTTAATGGTCTCATTAAATGAATATATTTCCACTCTCGTAAAACAATTTCAAAACTTTCAAGATAAATTCTTCTTTTATGATTTTAATTATTATGTTTTGTGTTTTTACACAAAATTTTCACCAAATATGTTCGAACATGATAAAAGAAGGAAAAGAAACATGAAGAAAGTTATGTTCAGGGCTTTATACCAATAATAAAGGTAACAATGTTGACCTGGCGGATCGGTGGACACACCTCTGCAATATTCTTCCTCTCTTATTTTTCTTTCTAGCAAGAATCTCTTTGCTCGACCATAGAAAGATTGCTTTTTCGTTCTTTCCATGTTTACTCACTCTGTCTCTCTCTCTCTCTCCATCTCTTTCCATCTCTCTATCTATCTATTGGTTTATCTATCTCTTTCGCTTGCACTAGTTTGAAAGCAAAAGAAAGAATGGCCGATACCTTCTTCTTAAACGCAAAGTGGAATCCCATGGGTTCTATAATAAGACGTATCCTACGGTGCATACCGTCTGGTACTGCACGTGTACCTGATTTCATGATTGGCCAGCACCCCGCAATCTACCTCATACGTGCATGATCTATACATGGTCCTACTCTTTTTTTACACCTCCTAGCATCCAAGAAGTTCTGCGAGTAATGTATATATATATATACATATATATATAGAGAGAGAGAGAAGAAGATGAAGGGAGAGAGATAGAGAGATCGAAGAAGAAGATTGCAAGAAAATACTATTTGCCGAGTTCTTCGCGTTAATGCTAACTGCAAATTTCTTTGGTTATAAATAATTTTGTTTTGTACTATGATTAATAGTGCCGAAGAGTATACCTATGTTTAGTTAAAATAAGTTGTTCAGATTTTCTAATTAATTTGTAAAATTAACAGATGAAATAGACAGAAAGTAACGAAGAAACATCATTCTCACTTATAATTGAAAAGTTAACAGATATATAATAGGAAGGAATATAATTTATCTTATCGTATCTGCTTTAAACGCATGCGTTGATAGAACTGTTTACTATCACATTTGTAATATAAGTTCAATCAACGTTCTTTGAGTTATTTACTTGCAGTTTTATTTAATTACTTACGTTCTCATCCTAATTTGTTCCTGTCTATACACTCTTCCTATCGATATTTATGCTCATTGAAAAGCTTTTTTCGAAACTATACGTTAAATTTTCTGAATGTTCCTGAATATTATTCATTTAATTTCTAAAACTAGATTATAAAGCTCAGAATAAAATAATTAATTAATCAAGCGAGATAAATAAATATTAAAACTGAAATATGTAGCAAGGTAAGTATATAGGTTAATATATAAGATATAATAAGATAAGTAAAGGTATTTTACAAATATTAACTAATATTCGGGTAAGAAATTTCTAATTGCAATAGAACCGACAAGTAATCAATTTTTACCTTTTGTAGGTAACGAACAAAGACTTTTGTGACTAGTCTTTTAAACAGTTTTTTTCCTATTGAAACTGTCACGATACTTCGACAACATCATTTGCCCCTGGATGGATTTTTTCAATTCTACTAAGAGCCCAATAGAGCGGTGGTAAGTTGTCCTGTTTCAATAACACAAATGTGTCTACTATCTTGAAATTCTCATCTCTAAATTTAAATATTTGATTAAGATTGGCTCGCTGGAGGTTTATTTGAAAGTCTTCCATAGCATCATACATATTTTTAGTATTATTCTTACATATAATATAATAACATTAAAATATTATATGCACTTTTTGAAATTTCTACTCTGTATCTAGTAATGTTTTGTATCATGTAATAAATTTTTATATTATATTTAATATATCACATTACATCTCAGTTTTTCCTTTCAATACAACGCATACTATTAGTTATAGGTATAATTAAAAATTTATTTCCGAAACACAAAATGTTCTCGTCGTTTCTGGAAAAATATTATTTTCTATTTCTAAAAAAAAAGAAAAGGTATTTTTTATATTTCATCTTATTTATTTGAACAAAAAGAATTATATTAATTTAACATATGTCAACAAGAATAATATCACATGTTTAATTATAAATAATAAATTCTAATACAGATCTATTTATGCTTTTCTTGTGTAATCTCGATATGCTAGTATTCTATAATATTTATACCTATGTATTACTGAGTACTCAACAAACAAATGATAATTATTTACTTATACAAATAGTAAAATATAAAAAACCAAAAATTATATTTTATTCGTAACTCAATGATCTCCTATGATATTTCTGCCGCGTTTTTTTAGCCGGATCCCGAAATATTTTGATTGAAATTATTCTTTATATTTCAAAGCAAAGCATTAGTCAGAGGCCTGCGGCCAAATGGCTCAAACTCCAAAGAGTTTAAAAAGACATGGAATTGATTGATCCTCTTCATCGCATTCCTATTAAATAATATCGTCCTATTTCTTATTATTATTGACAACATTTTTATATTTTAAGTTAAACATGTTTATAAAAAATGATTCATTTGAAAGGTAAACATTTGTATCTTGAATAGAACGTAAACGAGAACTGTTTTGCATTTTCTTTTGCAGTAGCAGTTTTGACGAAACATCGATGGACAGCTACTCGTTGGTGACGGTAACGGAAGATAGGGTAAACGATTTTTCAGAGGACGTAGTAAAGGACGGAAATGACATAGAAGTGACATCATTGGAAGAAGCGAAATCAGTCATAGCAACGCTTAGAGCGAAACAGAGGGCACAAGCACATCAAATGCTTGCTTGGCGGAGGACACTAAAATTGCAGGTAAAATTCGACGATACATCATTTTAACACTTTACCGACCACTAGAATTTCAACAGCACACGCACGTTCAGCCGACCGCTCAGCCGCAGATTCTACTAACAGATTTTAATAAGATTCTAATAACAAATTACTGTTCATGTAATGATAATGACTGTTCATCGCTATGTAAACCGATTAATAAGCAATCGGTTGACGATAAAAAGCTGATTAATACATTTTTGTTCAGTAAACGTCGGCGACAAGAAAAACCTATTAATAGGCTAGCGATCGGTAAAGTGTTAATAAAATTTAACACCATACGTTACCCCGATCCTTCATGTATACACCTATTTCTATCACAGCGGATCAAATGAACCATTTTCAAAAAGTCATATATTATATTTTACGATGGATGCATAATAAAAAATATACCATTTGTGCAATAAAAATTTGTGACTAACAAAATAACATTACAACTTATAAGAAATGTTGCTAAAAAGTTGATTAAAAAGTGTCATTTGACCCGTCTCGTAATAGGTTTAATGTCGCGTATGATAATATTTATTGTTAAATACAATACTTGTACGTTTTTTCAGGAAGAACTTGTGGCCCGACTAACGAGAGAGAAGGCCGAACAACTATGCACGTTGTCTTCGCAACTATTCCTATTCGAATCGCGACTGTGTCGGAAACAGAAAGAAATCGAGGCAAACCTTGTGCAACGGGAATCTATTATTCTCAGGCAACAAAGAGTAATACGGCAATTACAAAGCAGATTAGCGGAAAGGAGTGGTACAGGTACGAGAGATTCACCACCATACGATGCTCTCGATAGACTGGATAGTCTAGGAGACAGCGATAGCGCCGTCGTACTCGAAGAGGCCGCGGATGACCCGGCACCACCGAGGTAAACATTTTCTGCGCATTTTTTCAAAAGTAGATTATTTTTCATTTCGGAAATATCAACATATCTAGGTAGTTACTAGATAAGACAATTTTTATTATTTACCTAATCAGCTCGTAAAATCCAGAATCGAACGCAGCTAAGATAACTACAGGTAATCTGAATATTTCGAATATATGAATAAATGAGTACCCGGTTCTATCTAGAAATATAGAAAATTACTCGAGTTCTATCCGATCGCCGCCGTAAATACTCAGGAAAGATAACCGAGCAAATGAAAAATACAAATCTTATAAATTTACAACTATATTTTTATATTGCATGTATTATTATTAACCATAGTATTCATTTTATATTGGTGTTCCGATTTTTATAATCATATTAAATATAGTAGCTAAATTTTCTTCCGAATAGATGATCTTCTATGATCTAAACAAATTGACGACTTTTTATTATAAATTTGTCACCTCATATAATAATCTACTTTTCTATGATAATTAAATATAAGATTATTAGATAAATATTAGCTCTTATTTTATTTGTATATTAAATTATTTGCAAAGTGTATACTATGAACTTCTCTATTCTAAAAATAAAACAAACCTTTTTTATTTTATTCCTTTCAGATTTCGTTCAAACATCACAGATGTAACGGTTATACGATCGGTATCCGATGCAGTCGAACCATCGAGCAAGTATTCGTCAATGCGAAGATGCAATGGTTTTCTTCGTAGGCCAGAGATACTAGAAACTGTGTATTCGGTAGAAGAAGATGGCGACAGTGAGAGCAACCAGGAACCACCTGAATCTATGGAAAATTACGAATGCGATGAGAGGCGGACGAAAAACTTGGGAAATGGGAAAGGCAGACTGCAAGAGCTTTATGGTAGCTTCGAAAGACTAGCACAGGATACTGATTCCCTGGAAAATGAAAGACCGAGAGATGAGAGTCAACAAGCGCAGGTGAACGACGATCGAGAACGACGATCTTTGCGATCATTTTCGATAAGTGACACATATTTCTTTACTAATTATTTAGACTTAGCTGGATTTTAAAAATATTTTTGTTTCAGGTGACGTACAATAGAGTAATGAGTAATCACAGATCGGTAACAAAGCCGAAAGACGTAAAATATAAGAGAATAAATAAGGCTAAATCGAAGAGTTTGGAGGAGCTTAGAGGACGACTGAGAAATTGGGTAGAGAAAGGAAATAAAATAGCTATATCTTTAGATCAATCCTACGCTTGAACTTGTTACACGAAAGTATTTAAATTATTTTTGTGAAATTTTATAAATTATTATCACCGTCGACAGGATAACGTCGATAGGTCGGTACTACGAAATTTACGATAACTCTTTCCTCCTTAAGCAGCACACTAAAGCCCGCATTAAATCGAAATTTCATCCTTCCATGTGATATTTATTCTAGTATAATATAATATCGTGCATGGTTATGCCGATAAAATTGATGAGAGGGAAGGACCGCTTAACAGATATATGTGATATGAATAGACATGACAGTCGCGTACGCGCCGGAGTGTCTTATATTATTATATGCGAAACTTTATTATTTAACTAATGAAAGTTCAACTCTTGATAAAAGAACGATCATTATGGTGTATAAAATTTTTAACAACTTATCTCCCTCTTTTCCTGTTTTCCTAATCAGTTCCTATAATCAGTTCAAGCGCATCCTAATATGCGCCATTTTATCTTTTTTATCGTCAATCTTATGTCTTGTCACAATAATAAACTGGAGCTTATTTTTCCAGGAAATTCATTATCAGAACTGTTTCATACTTGAAAATATTTGAAAATGTAAAATAAATTTTTCTTCTTTATTGCTACCAATGAATCGCACTTAAATGCGTTGAACATAATATTATAAAGCATTATGAATCACCGTAAATCAATCACCTTTGTCAATTAAAAATATTACTATGCAATCAATTAAACGAAAAAATATTTAATCAAAGGGCCTTCACTTTCCTAAAATAGGCTTACTTTTAAGATGAGCGATATGAGTTTTTCTTATCTCATTCTATACAATTTGTATTGATAATTATAACTCTAACTTTATATACATATTATAAAAATGAATGATGCATTACGATATATAACACTACAACGTCTTTCCACTTACATTTCGAAATATCAAATTCTAAATATATCTCTAACATGATTAATTTTGTATCAGATCATACGTATATCTTTTATGACTTTTATTGTTTCCATTAATAAGTAAGTAATTCTATCAGTCTGTAAAATGTATATTTTACGTCATTTTATTTAAAATAATATTTAAAATCATGTATAAAATTATATGTGATCCTTCAAATTTATCACCATATTTGGTGTACGTTTCATAAATTATGTATTGTTCAAAATAGGGGTACAAAAAACTTCTGACAATCTGCGCTTTAAGAAAAATATACGATATTTAACTATCCGCTTGTATATAATTGTGAATGTATTATTAATTTAACATATTAATATCTCTTTCAATGTTATGTATATAGATATATTCCCCAAATTTTGAATAATGTAAATTTGAGTTTTATGTTCCTGCTGGCTAACTATTAGCCATTAAAAAAGAAGCGCGCGCTCGCACAGGTGTACCGTTATTATCGAAATCTTATTAATGTTATTAAAGATAAATGTAAACAAATTTACTAATAATAATAATGAAGTACAATGAATTTATTGAAAGATTTGGAAAATTAGATTACTTAAATAGACTAGGTCAACTTCTTTATTAATTAGTGTGTGTATTTAAACTTGAAAATCATGAATGAAATGTAAAGACATTAATTGATTGTAAGTTTCAATCGTTACGTTATTACAGATCAAAATATACGTTTGACCAATCAAATAACGGCGATAGTACTATTAATAGTAATGTGCGTGACAGCGCTTCGTATTCGCGAGGTAGATGGCGTTTCGTACGCATGACTTAGATGTCGCTTGTGAATTAAATAAAAACATTAAATTATCATGGTCACCGTTCGTTCAAACAGTTCAATAATTCAAATGTATTTTTTGAGAGTCGTAAACATATTAACTGCATACAATTAATTATGTTTTTAGCTTTATTTCATGTATTTTATTTTTTTGGAAAGTATGTATATGGTAGTTATTTTAACAAAAAAACAGAGGATGTGAAAATGCCGCACATTACATCAAAAGTATCCTATGCAACAGATCCTGATGAACTCGAGGATTACACACCTTTAAATATAAAATTTTGTCCGCCAGTTTATATCCAAAGATATAATAAAGTAATTGAAATACTTAACAGTGATAAATACAAAGGCAAGATACGAAAGGTCCGATATCTCAATTATATGCTTTTCATAGTTATTTAACTTATTTATTTTGTATTAATTTTGCGAATCATAAAGCTTTTATTAAAATTTCTTAATAGTATTCCCTTTGGAAAGATATTTGTTAATTTTATGAAGTTTATCACATTATAGGTTGTAGATTTTGGCTGTGCAGAGCTTAATTTTTTTGTTCATCTCAAAAGTATTCCCGAATTAGAAGAAATATTATGTGTAGACGTTGATAGATCTGTTCTTGAAGCTAACAAAGGCAAAGTTAAGCCATTATTTAGTGATCATATACATTGTCGAAGTAAACCTCTTGTAGTTCATGTTTATGAGGGAAGTGTTACACACAACGACAAAAAACTAGAGAAAACTGATGCTGTCATCTGTATAGAATTGTGCGTTATGATCAATAATAATTATTTCTTAAGCCTATTTTTGTATTAAAATGTAGTAACCAAAATTTTGTAGGATCGAACATTTGTATCCTGATACATTAATAGATTTTGAATTTAACATCTTTGGTTGCATCAAACCTAAAGTAGTCATTATAACCACGCCAAATGCCGACTTTAATATATTATTTAACAAATTCTCTGGATTTAGACATTATGATCATAAGTTTGAATGGACTAGAGAACAATTTCAAGATTGGTAAACTTTTTACACTTTCTAATTACCTATACTGTAGTTAGAATATATATAAACGTTAATAGTTACTTTGCTTTACTAAACTTTCAAAAAATTACATTTGTTTGTAGGGCGCATAATATTGTTTTAAGATATTCAGATTATCAAGTGACATTTCATGGTATTGGTAATGGGCCAAAAGGTACAGAGCACTTAGGTGCTTCTACTCAAATGGTTATTTTTCATCGTAATAGCGAAGAGAATAGTTCAGAATTATTAGGTGTTGATAATTTATTTAAACTGATAACTTTGGAAAATTTTCCATTTAAAATTGACAAACGTTCGGAAAAACAAAAAATTTTGGATGAAGTCAGTTATTATATGAGCCGATCTGCCAATCATGATAATTCGGAAGGAGAATTATCGCTTAAAAGTTTAGTCTCATTATTAAAGGAATTTAATGTTACAATGGAATCCTTGAAACCAATCTTAAAAGAAGGAGGATGGTCCATTGTTGATCATGAAGAAGGTCCTTTTATATGTTCCTCAGACCAGCCAAATACCATCGAAGATGATTTTTTAGATGACAATAGATCATATAAAGAATCTGAAACATCCGTAGATTATAATGAATACACATATTCAGAGGATTTTAATCATTTTTGGCCTTCTGAAAACTGGGATGAAGAACTAAGTTTTGTTATACCTCAGAATAATTCTATCGTAGAAGATAGTAATACTTATCTGTATGATGCTGACCGTGAATTATCAAATATTAATAATCCTTCTGATAGAGAAAATTTTAATGAATGTTCTGTTGATCTATCAAGTAATTCAATTTCGCGACATAATGATACATCATCTCATAAAATAAACTCTTATATGCTGTCTGATATTGGTACAGCTAGTTATTCAAATGTACATAATGAAAATAATACATTTATAAAACCTGCTGGAAAAGTACATAGGACATTAGATTATCATTCTTTATCAGTATTATCTACTTCAATATCGCCTCAACCACTATTAGTTCATTTGGATCAATTAAACAGTTCCTATAGCGATGATACAGTTACAGATAAAAATATGTCATGTACGTCATTATTGAATAATACTTTTCATTCATTAGACATATTGAGAGATGAATCCGTTGATTTGGAAAAAGCAACTGCTTCCAATTGCGTGCATTTTAATACATCTTCAAATGGAAAAGAATCAGAATGCACAAATTTTTTCCAGAATGAAATTGGTGAATGTTATAAAGAAAATGTTACAGAACTTAAGCAAGTAAATATGGAGAAAAACAATATTGATTATGAAGATCACTTTGTTCTTGAAGATTGTGCATCTGCATCAAGTACAAATCAGCCGCAATATACAAGTTCACCACGAGTTGTTACAAAAACAAAAGAAACAAGTTTTAGTCACAAATCGTCAGAGTTTGACAATGTAAGTAAAAGTAATATATCCAAAACCCTAAAATTGGTCAATCAACGGATACTTTCTAATGACGTTGTAAGTATTTGTCAAACTTCTCCAAAAAATTTTAATAATACTAATGTATCGAGTATTTCGAGTCTACCTATGAATGACAGTTATAATACTATAATAAAATGCGATAAGACTGAAAGCGAACTTATAATTTTGTCAAAAAAAGATAACTTAGAAAACATGTCTTCAGATAAAATTACTTCAAATAACGATATTTCTGTCGAAATAAGTAATTTGAATAGCAAAATATTAACTTCAGAGAGAGACCATGCGATTATAACACAGGAATCAAATATAAAGGCTATCGATAATATAAATAAAAATAAAAGAAAGTTATTTTCAGTGAAAACATACTCATCACTTCCGGCATACCCAAGTACTGCAGATCCACTATATGAAGAGAATGCATTTAAATCTTTTCAATTTACATCCCTTCCGAATACTGATAAATCTGATAAAAAAAAATGTATTAGCCTCCCATGTGCCAAAGAAAATAGTGATCTTATATTACAATCTGAGAAAACAGAAAATGTAAATAGTATTCAATCTGAAACATGTAAGGATTATCCAAACAGTTTTATTGCAAAGGGTATAAAATGTTCAGCTAACATTGTAGAAATAAAGCCTAATTCTCCAGACCCTTTAGAAACACCCCCGAATAGTTGGTCTCCAGAAATTATGGATTCTGGCTATCCAAACACTGCATCAGCACAAGATATGACACCAGAATATGATCTTTCTAGTATAGCACATGATCAAATACCTGATTCAGAATCTCCAAGTGTAGCGGAAGCACCACAATTTGCATATCCGGAACCAGTGATAATAGAAAATGGTGATCTTGCCAATAATAATAGGGATGGTGAAGGTAATAATATGATAGCTGTGGCTGATAACGACATAGAAAATCTACAACCTTTAATTAATGTTTTGGAGAATGATCTTGAAAATGAAAATGACATTTATGTTGTTGAAAATGGCTTTCCTGTATGGCTATTAAGAATATTAGAAATGGCTAATCCAATAGATATTGACGGGCATATTTTAAGAGATCATAGAGAATTGATTCCCTTTGATTTTATAGAAGGTAAATAATAAAATATTTGATTTTATATAATCGTAAGCGCATGATAAGATGTTTTTACGGTTTACATACGTTATATATATTTAGGCGACGCAGAATATTTGGGTATAGATCACGATGAAGGTTTCGATAGAAATTCCTCGATAGGAGACAGCGATCAAAATAAGGACGAAATATCCAGTAATATTTCGGACGCGAATCATATTGATTATAATAACGAAGTAATGTGTGACACAGATAGTGACGAGAGTAACAATTTAGAAAACATCGTTCATGTACATTATACAAATAGAAATGCTGATAGTGATGAATGGGAAATAGAAAATACGTGATACTGTCGAGAAAAAAATTCTGTATAACATATCATCATCATTAATTTGTAATTATACAATTTTTCGAGAATTTGATTCGTAAAATGAAAGATAATAACAAGTATTTTATATTTATGTTCCCTGGATTTTTTTTTTTAGATATTAATCTTTACTATAATTCATTTTAATCTATTTGTTGAGTTTATATAAATTTAAGATGATTGAAGATCCGTTTAAGATGATCCATATAAATATATTGAAATTATGAGTGGTATGATAATATTTTCCAAATGAAAGTTAAACAATATATATGGAATATCATGTAATACATAAATGCATTTCTACTATAATGTGTATATTGCATGTTGTCCTCTTTCATACTATTCAATTATTATTTAATACATTTTGTATTATATATCTTATAATAATATTCAAATTATGTAAAGGAATTAGTTATTACTATTGAAATATAAATGAAAATTATTTTTTTTGTAAAAGCATTAAAAAATACTAAAATTTGCAAAAATATATTTTTTTATGATATAAAATTTTTATCATCATTCTGGCATTTAAAAGTTCATGGAAATTATAATATTTTTTCTATTTATATATGCGTTAAATATACAATTCATTTATGGAAAAAATTCTGTAAGAATGAAACTGCATATCTTTTTCATTTTACTATTATGTGGATATCTTTTACTAATAAACAATTTAAAAATTCTATATATAAATATTAAAGAAGTATTTATTTATGTTATAGTATTTATTAACAAGAAAACGGAACGAGTTGTTCCCATAAATTCGAGGAGAAAGTTGATACATTAGGAGTATACCTTTAGAGTATTCACTCGTTAAAATATGAAGACACAATTCTTCACCAATTCCGAGATAATAGCTTCCAAAGTTTTGTTGATATGTCAATATCCTAATAAATTCAGTCAATTACCATGAATCGTAGTTTAAGGAGTACTAATGTACCAAGTTTCACCCCGAATTTATGGAAGCAACTCATTCCGTCTCCTGTAAGATCCTTTCGTGTTTTCTACACATCATATAGTTTATTTGCAATGTGTTCTTCTGATATGTTAAAAGAATGTTTTATTTATAAAAAGCATCTTACAAATAGTACAGAGATGTGATATTTATTTCAGTAATTTTATTATAATATTACAGGGTTTACAGTGATAAAATAAATAAGTATATGTGCGAGATACATAGATACATATAATGCATATATGTATCTATGCATACACACACATATACCTACAAATACACACATGTATATATACAGGGTGTTCCATATGAAGTTTTACATTCAATTATCACCTGAACAAAGTGTTCTAAATAGAACTTATTTTATCTCCAAGGAGAAATCTTGTGACGGTTATAAATCTTGTCTAATTGGACGTATCTCCGAGATTTCAAAGTAATCCTTGTATTTTTAAATGGAACTATATGTATATATAGTATAAATAAATAATTATAAATTATATA